TTTCTCCTCTGTGGCAAACCATATTCCGTTACGGCGGGAGCAGCACACGGTGGGGCCGCTGCCAATTATAGGATTGCACAACAGGGGCAGAGCAAAAAAAAGTCCATTGTGGTTTCAAGCCACCAGTGAGCTCTGACGTTTTTTTGTTTCAGTTCCCTTAAATAAAATGGTGTCGCTGTGGGAAGTACAGGCCTCTGGGAAGCTGTTCTACCAGAGCAGCCACAAGAGCTGTTTCTTGCCATGGCTCCACTGAGCAGGACCACGGGTCCCCAGGTGGGCGCAGCCACGGCAGGGAGCAGAGCAGCAGCCCAAGGAGCACAAGCCCCTTGGAGCAGCCTTCCAGTTTATTTCTGTTTAACACCATTTAAGGTTAGCACAATTACACAGCTGAAAAGAGAGAATCATCTTGAGATAACATGCCCAGGGCTTTGCCAGTGTCTGGGCGATGCGGTCTAACCAGGAGCATGTTACTGAAAGCCAACACGTGATGGACTCTCAGTATGAATAACACCAGCGGGCAGGATTGCTGAAAGGAAATCGAATGTTGCAGAAACGAAATCAGGAGTAGGAGAGACAGGAAACTAGCTGTTTTTCCTCTGAACTCAGTTATTTGTGCTGAATCAGCTTCAAGCTGTTTCTGTGCCTCCCTGTAAGATCTTAAATAAATCTCTGGTACTGCTTCGTTATGGGAGTTCATCTTCTCATCTTCCCAAGGCTGTCTGCTGTTGACAGCTCTTGTGTTAACCGAGAAGCTGTTTGTTTCTCCCTCTCCCTTTTCCCGTTTCTGCAGACCGCAGAGTCGGCGGTTCTCGTTGATCCTCGTGGGTTCCAGTACCCGAGCAGGAAACTCGGCTCTATTGTCAGGAGCACAAACCAAAGGTCATTTCGGGAAAGTGCAGCTGGGTGCGGCCACGCTGAGCGAGGGTGATGATGGCCTCAGCAGGCTTTTTTATTTTTTCCATTTCTTAAATCACCCTAACTCTCCTGTTTGCTCTTCTCTGGCAACTTTCCTCCAGGGATCTCTCTCACCATTATAAGTAAAGCTTCATAAATCCTCAAGCCTTAAGCATTAATCTCAACCTCACTTTTCAAGGAAATGGCTTTGTTCTGTGTTAGTGATTTTCTGGTGGCAACTGCAGCAAAGCTTTGGCCTCCTGCAGCTGCTGCTGTGCTGGTGACACCTCCACTATGGTGAAGGAAGAGGTTAATGCAGATTTAAATAGTTAAGTGAAATACTCCAGCTAATTCGACTTTGAGTTGCTGGTGTGATCTAGCACCAGACAGGAAAGGAAACTAAGACCTGCCTGTCCGCTGCTTAGATGTAACCCCCACTTGCACAGGTCTTAAGACCTGCCTGTCCGCTGCTCAGATGTAACCCCCACTTGCACAGGTCTTATCTGCTGTTTAAATATTACCTAATGGCCCTACCACTAATTCTTAGACTCTCCCTAATGCTGTTCTCTCTTGCCTGCTTCCCTTGAAAACTTAAACATATAATTTTCTTAGCAAAAGGTGAACTTGCATGACTTGTTCGTATATCGCAGTGCTCTGTGACTGGCGGAGGGGATGAA